TTCTTTTTTTTAAGGCTGAATAGTATTCCATTCTGTATATATACCACACTTTTTTTTTTTCTTTTATTTTGCTGAACAAATTACCCCCAAATACATCTTCTTTATCCATTCATCTGTTGATGAACACAGGTTGTTTCCCTATCTTGGCTTTGTGAATAGTGCTGCAGTGAACATGGCAGTGCTGGTATCTCTTTGACATAATGATTGCATTTCCTTTGGGTATATAGCCAGTAGTGGGATTGCTGGATCATATGGTAGTTCTGTTTTTAATATTTTAAGGAACCTCCACACTTTTCCATAATAGCTGTACTAATTTCCATTTCCACCAACAGTGTACAAGGGTTCCCTTTTCTTCATATCCTCACCAACATTTATTTTTTGCCTAACAGGTGTGAGGTGATATCTCCTTGTGGTTTTAATTTGCACTTTGATAATGATTAGTGATGTGGAGCATTTTTCCATATACCTGTTGGCCATCTTTATGCCTACTTTTGAGAAATGTCTATTCAGTTCCTGTGACCATTATTTAATAAGGTTATTTATTTTCTTACGATTGAGTTCCTTATATATTTTGAGTATTAAACTTTATCAGACGTATGATTTACAAATACTTTTTCCCACTCTGTAGATTGTCTCTTCACTCTGCTGATTGTTTCCTTTGCTATGCAGAAGCTTTTTAGTTTAATGTAATCCCATCCGTCTAGTTTTGCTTTAATTGCCTGTGCTTTGGCGGTCATATCCCCAAACAATCATTGCCCAGATTAATGTTACATAGCTTTTCCCCTACGTTTCCTTCTAGTCGACCACATTTAAGTCTTTAATCCACTTGGAGTTGATTTTTTAATATCGTGTAAGATAAGGCTCTAATTTCATTTTTCTGCATATGGACATCCAGTTTTCCCAACACTATTTATTGAAGAGATTGTCCTTTCTCCATTGTGTTCTTGGCACCTTTGTCAAAAAATCAATTCACAGTAAATGCACAGATTTATCTCTGGGTTCTCTATTCTGTTCCATTGGTCTGTGTGTCTGTTTTTATGCCAGTACCATGCAGCTTTGGTTACGATAGCTTTATAGTAGATCAGGAAGTTTGATGCCTCCAGCCTTATTCTTTTTGCTCAAGATTGCTTTGGCTATTTGGGGTCATTTGTGGTTCCATACAAATTTTAGGATTTTTCTCTATTTCTGTAAAAAATGTCATTGGAATTTTGATAGGGATTGTATTGAATCTATAGATGGCTTTAGGCAGTATAAACATTTAAACAACATTAATTTTTCCGATCCACGAACATGAGCTATCTTTTCATTTATTTGTGTCTTCTTCAATTTCTTTCATCAATATTTTATAGCTTTCAGTGTATAGGTCTTTCACCTCCTATAGTTGGAGGTTTTAATATCCCCTTGTCAGCATTTGCTAGAACAACTAGAAAAAAATCAGCAAAGATATACAAGATCTGTACAACATCCCACTTTAACTTAATTAATATGAGGGTACTTCAAAAAGTTTGTGGAAAAATAGAATTAGAAAGGTAATATGAACCTTTCCATGAACATTTTGAAGACCTCTTGTATTTACAGAATACTACACCCAATATTCTTTTCAAGGGCACCTGATATGCTTTCCAAGTTAGACCATATGCTGGGCCATAAAATAAATATCACTAATTTAAAATAACTGAAATCAGGGCCTGCCCTGTGGCTCACTCGGGAGAGTGTGGCGCGGCTGGCGCTGAGGCCGAGGGTTCAGATCCTATATAGGGATGGTTGGTGAGCTCACTGGCTGAGCGTGGTGTGGACCACACCGTGCCAAGGGTTGCCATCCCCTTACCAGTCAAAAATAAAATAAAATAAAAATAAAATAAAATAACTGAAATCATATAGAGTATGTTCTCTTACCACAATGGAGTTAAATTTCAAATCAATTACAGTAAGACAACTAGGGAAAGATCATATATTTTAGAACTAAACAACCAACTTATAAAGAAGTCATAGGTCAAAGAAGAAATCATAGGAAAATTAGAAAGTGTTTTGAACTAAATTATAATGAAAATACAATATATATAAATTTGTGGGATGCTGCTAAAGAAGTTCTTAGAGAGAAATTTATAGTTTGTGTTAGAAAAGAAGAAAAATTTAGGGCCGGCCCGTGGCTCACTTGGGAGAGTGTGGTGATGATAACACCAAGGCCATGGGTTCGGATCCTATATAGGGATGGCCGGTTGGCTCACTGGCTGGGGGTGGTGCTGACAACACCAAGCCAAGGGTTAAGATCCCCTTACCGGCCATCTTAAAAAAAAAAAAAAAAAGAAAAGAAGAAAAATTTGAACTCAATGATCTGAGTTCTCACCTTAAGAACTTAGAAAAAGAAGACAAAATTAAACCCAAAGCAAAAGCAAAGAGAAGGAAATAAAGAACAAAATAGAAATACAGGATACAAAAAAAAAAAAAAAAAAAAAGTAGAGAAAATCAATGAAACAGAAACTGGTTCTTTGAAAAGATCAATGAAATTTATCTTTAAATTTAATTTAAATTTCCTCTAGCTGGACAGAGTGTGAGATAATGGGAGAGAGAGAACACACATGTTACAAGTATCAGGCATGAAAGGGGGGATATTGTTACAGATTCTACAGACATTAAAATGGTGAAAAGAGTATCGTGAATAAGATGTCTGATAATACCAAGTATTGGTGACACTGCAGAGAAACTGGAACCTTCATGTATTGCTGACAGGAATGCACAACAGTGCAGCCATCTTGGATAACAGTATGGCAGTGTCTCATAAAATTAAACGTGAACTTGGATAGGACCCAGAAATCCTACTCCTTGTTATTTACCCAAGAGAAATGAAAACCATGTCCACACAAAGACTTGTGTATTAATGCAGCATTATTTATAACATTCCCAAACTGGAAACGGTACAATACTCACGAATAAATCAATCAGTAGTGGTATATCCATACTGAAGAATACTACTCAACAATCAAAATGAAACAAACAACTTAATACATGCAACAACATGAATGGACCTCAAAAACATTCTGCTAAGTGAAGGAAATCAAATGCAAAAACATTGCACACTTCTACATAAGGCAAAACCATAGTGTCAAAAGAGATCAGTATTTTCCAGGACTAGTAACCAGACCAAAGAGGCAAGAGAAAACTTTTTAGACTAAATGAAACTGTTCAACATCTTCATTGTGGTGGTGGTTAAAATGACTTCATATAATTACCAATATTCATCAAACTGTACAATTAAAATAGGTGAATTTTTATTGCATATAAATTATACCTCAATAAAGCTGGGAACAAAATGGGTTCCTTCAAATGGGCAAAAGCCATAAAGAAATATCACAATTTGTAAAAATGAATTGCTAATAATAATATAAATTTAAAATAAAATCAACTAGTCTTAGATTGTCAGTGATTAAGATATCTTGCTCAATTCCCGTTATGGGTTGAATTTCATCTCCCCAGAAAAAGATGTTGTAGTCCTAACCCCCAGTATCTCAGAATGTGACCTTACTTGGAAATAGGGTCTTTACAGAGGTAATCAAGTTAAAATGTGATCATTTGGGTGGGCCCTGCGATGGGTTAAATAAATCCCCCAAAAGTTCGTGTACTGGAAACTTGACCCCCATTGTAAGAGTGTTAAGAGGGTGGGAAATCCAATTATGGTATTTGAAACATAGAGCCTTTAAGAGGGATTAGGCTGTGAGGACTGTGGCCTCATCAAGAGATTGATCCATTCATGGAGTAATGGGCATGGTTCTGATGGCTTCAAAAGGAGAGCAAGTGAGAATGCTAGCTCTCTTGCTCAGACCATTCTTGCCATGTAACATGACACCCTGCATCACTGTAGATGAAGACCCTCACCAGATGTGTTCCCTGGACCTTGGAACTCCCAACCTCTGAAACTATATGAAATAAATTTCATTTCCTTATAAATTAACCAGTTTCAGGTATTCTGTTATAGGCAACAGAAACGAACTAATACAGGCCCTAATCCAGCATGACTGGTGTCCTTATAAAAAACGGAAATGTGAGGCAGATACACACAGAAGAAGAAAATGTGGAGAGACGCAGGGAGAATATCATGTGACAGCAAAGGCAGAGATTAGAGTGATGCATCTAGAAGCCAAGAGAAGCTTGAGGCTACCAGAAACTAGAGTAGAGGCATGGAACATTCCTTCCCTAGAGCCTTCAGAGGGAACTCGGCCCTGCCAACACTTTGATTTCTGACTTCTGGCATCCAGAACTATGAGATGATAAATTTTTGTTGTTTTTAGCCACCCAGTTTGTGGTACTTTGTTTCAGCAGCCCCAGGAAACTAATACACTCCCATTTGATACTAACAATGTTGACTACACTAATTACACATTGTCCAGTTTCCTGAGGAATCTCTGTGAGATGAGAACTCCACAGTCAAAAATATACACAATAGCCCAAAGGAACCAAGTTTTTTTCTTCTGAGTTCGCTAGTAAATGACAACTTCTTCTTGGTACTGTTAGACCAGGGTAAGAGTCACCTGGAAGTAATTTTCAGTTTCATCAAAAACATTTTATAAACATAAAACAGATCATCTAAACTGAACCATTCACTATATATAAATTGCAAACTCCTATTCCTGCATTTCAACACTCAAAATATGCTGGCAGAAAACCTAAGAAATGGGTGGCTATGATCTCAATTTCAGAAAGCAGCATGGAAACACAGTCAACAAAACCAAAAATGCCTGTAAATAAAATGTGAATGGGTCCACTTCTCTACAGGCTACTGCCAGCCTTCCATGCAAAGGTATTAAACAAAATTGCAAGGAAGCATTGATACGACTGTATCCTCTTAAAGACTTTTTTATTGATGGATATATAAAGTCCTCTCCACATCCAGCAATGCTGCTTCCACAGTTTGCCATGAGAAGCTTTTTTGGTCTCTCTCCCTCCACTGCAGATTATATTTCTCTATTATCATTAACACTGAACATTTAACAGCCACTAAATACAGGAGTGGCACATGCAGTCAAACCTACCTCTTGTGATGGAGGCAGGACACCCTCACAGGTGACACAGTATCTCAATTGAGCAGGATTCCCAGTGCCACAGGCCTGGCAGATTACTTTCTCCTTGACAACAGAGAAAATACATGAAAATACAACAAGAAATACATGTTCCTATGAGCAAACACCCGGGCCCAGACGTCACCATGCAGTCTTTTCAGTCAATTGGCCAGCCACAGACCCCATAACAACACCCAGGCCCTGAATATTGGACCGATTCTGGAATTATTACAGTATAAATAGTGTCAGATAAGTGAATGTAGTTTTAAAAGAAACAAAACCCCAAACAAACAAACTGAAAAGAGTATTTATTTGATCTTGGGAAGGCAAATTGAAAATTTTGCACTGATTATATATAAGGCTTTTTTCCCAGTGTGGAAAATGTGATAGTCAGTAGGCTGTCCATTTCATGGCTTAAACATTAGACAGAAAGACTTAAGACTAGCAAAAGCTTATCTGTATGTTTGCAAGTAATCTGGTTCTTAGACTGGGGTTTAACATGGGGCTTTACGTTAAATATGAATGTAGGTTTGCTCTGTAGTTTCCCACTTAGAAATGGAAAGACTGCCTTAGAAAGGGCATGGTAAGAACAACTTTCTGAGTCAGGACCCTGAGTTAAGCTGCACACAGAAGAAAACACAAAAAAGAAATGACAGTTAAAATAATGTAACTAGATTTCAGCTATCAGAGGTTTGCTAACCTCTATTTAGTCACTGGACCATTGTGTACTCAATTGTCGATGGCCAGTGATGCTCAGATGTTTCTTTCTATTCTAGGACTGTGGTCCCTAGGTGTCCCAAAACTGATATAGTGTGTTCTGAAGCTGGTACATATAAAGAAGATGATCAAGAAAAAAAAGGCAGGGTTTAATTTCCAACACCACTAGGTAGCTCTGTGAAGTCCTGGCCTTTCAAAGTCTGCTTGACTCCATTTTAGTAGGAGACTCCAAAGTCTTCCTAGGAACCTGAGCCAACTCAGGAAACCGCAGTTCCCAGTCTAGACAACTCCTAAAGGGCAGAGGCTGACTGACAGCTATGCAAAGTGGCAGAGCATCACAGTCTTGCTCTCAATGGTTCCTGGCACTCCCTAAGTCTGACATTCTTCAAAGTTACTTGAAGTTGCCATAGCATAATCCAAAATTGCCAGCACTTTTCTGTGAGATTTGGGGCTGCAAACTTCCTGAAAGATGTTGCCTCAGAAAAGATCTGGTGAAACCCACTGAGAAGTGAGACGAATTTCCTGTCTCTATATTAAAAATCACTGAGATCAAACAAAAATAATTTCGCTATTTGCTGCAGAAAATACTTCCTGTAGGAGGAGAAGACTGTAGACTAACTAAAATTGCTAACTTATTAGTGCAGCAGCAAGATTTTTGCCTTTCAGGGCCCACCGTCCAAAACTTGATGTCATAATTTTACCCAGTCCAAATTCTGCCCAATTCCAGCCCTGCCTTGCAAACCCCCCTATTTTTAATTTTAATTAATAAACTTTATTTTTTAGAGCAGTTTTAGGTTCACAGCAAATTATAGAAGGTTCCCATGTACCTCTGTCCCCACACATACACAATCTCGCCCACTACTGACATCCCACAACAGAGTGGTACATTTGTTTACAAGTGATGAACCTACGTTGACACATCATTATCACCCACAGTAAATAGATTAGAGTTCACTCTTGCAAAACCCTCTTTAAATCATTCAATCCCCGTGAAATACCTTTCCCTATCTTCTCCCTTTTGAGATCCTACTAGGAACCTGTCAAAGTGTCTACCTTACTGCATCAGGTCTACTAAACACAGTTAACTTGGTCAACAGATCTTTCTGTGGTGTTTGTGGTGGCTTTCGACACCAAGCCATTGCTCATTTCTTCTAGAGTAGTGACCATGACCCACAGTTAAAAATCATTTTATATCACAACCCCACCTCACCCATAGATTCATAGATGTTTGCAGGGATGATGGGGGACTTAGGCCACCATCAGATGGTCTTAACAAGGATGCTAAACATCTATGATGAAAAATATTTTTTAAAAAATCAATACCCTTATCTACCATCTCATCTACAACATTTGTAACATATTATTTAGTTGACTGGTTCTAAGCAATTTAGTAGACCCAACTAAGTTAAAACTTCTCCTACGGTAGGTATTTGGAAGATGAGAACAATTTTCAGACTCCCAAATGATTGACTCCATAAAATGAGGAAGAATGTTGGAAACAAACTAGTAGGTCATTGCAAACTTAATCTCACAGTTGATTTTGTAAGATTCCAGGCTAAAGATCTGCTTGATGTGGAGCTGTTCTTATACTGGCCTTCACCCAGATTACTGTGTGAGAGGCTGGGTCGCAGGGGAGGTAACTGTGTCCCAGTCGTGTGAGTCATCAGATCTTTTCGGAGTAATGACTTCAAGAGGATCCTATCCCTAAGCCTCACAGATTCTAGGAATCCCAAATATGACTGAAATCCTGGAGGTATACTGCATGTTGCTAGTTAAAGCCCAAAGGAAACAAGTATCTCCTCTTTCTAAAGTAGAGTTAATGTCTTCTGGTGAAAGGGGATGCTAAATTAGTTTTCAACTTTAGAAAATGGTCAATGGATGCACTTGTTAAGTGAAATAATCAAGTTGCAACGAAATGTATTTACCATGATTCTATTTTTGTTTAAAAAACCTAACCAAATCTAAATGTGTAAATACATATGAGTATGTTCCTGTGCATCTAGAAAAACACATAGAACACTCACTAAGCTGCTAACACTGGTTATTTCAGGAGTAGAAACGGAGGTGGGGTGAGGAAATTAGGCACTTTTTGTATGTCTTTGTATTGTTTCACTTGTTACAAAATGTTAGATGTTAATTTCTTAAGAATTAAATTGTAAAATCCTCTTATTCTGAAACAGGTACATTTGCCAGAGGGCAAAAGGAGAAACTTCTACTACTACATCTTCTAATCCTGGCAGTAAAAAAATATCTGGTAGAGCAAAACTCTTCACCGTTGACAAAGCGTTTAACTCAACCCAAAATACAAGTGCAGCAGCAGCTGAGTCTGTCTTCATCACAGCAGGAAGGGGACAGATGGCATTCACACACCACATGGAGTTAGCTGGAGACCAACACACAAAGGGGAGGGGACTGTCAAAAGGGGGAGGTAAGGCTTGTTGGCTTCTGTGAGCAGTTTACACAGGTATTCCCACCAACCTCAGAGGTGGCTGTCTGGGTGAGAATGTTATCTAAAAACCTGTTGCCCTTGTAACATCTGGGAAATCACTGGGAGGACGACTGTCAGGCCAGGGTTTACAAACAGGTGTCCTTCTGTTGAGTAGAAGCAGCAATACTTATTGTCTGGCCATAAAAAAGAGGCATTTTCTTACAAGATCAGAGGTTATGGTGATAGGAATCTCTCTACAAATAAAACCCGATTAAAATCTGTCCCTGCTTTCAACACTTCAGGGCCTGCAGGGAAAAATCTGAACTACTAAGTATGGTAGAGAATGCACCATCTCCCACAATCCACAGAACCCCCAGCATTGCTGCAGCTCAGCAAAACCAAACTGCTTGCAAAGTTTTGAGGCATACACTGCAGATTCCAGTCTCTACGCATCTGCCTCTAAGAATCTGCCCCCCCAGATCTCCCATAAACATATACACATCAGCCACTTCTTGACCCACCCCTTTTTCAACTGACAAATTCTTTTGCCTTCCTCGGTGTCTGTTCAGATGACACCTCCTCTTTGAATTCCTCCTTTATGCACCACCACCAAGGCAAGCAGGGGCCCAGATCACTGGATCCAGGCAAGGGGCAGTGAGTCCAGGGGTAAGAGCCTGTGGAATGTGGTGCACAGAGCCTTCCAGAGTGGCCCAGGAAGCAACATTCTGGGGAAAAGTCAAATCAAAAGACATCCCATGGAAGCCCCTAAGCAATTGAGGGCTTACAGTAGACATGCAGGGCAGAACCCGGAGAAACTAGGTGAATCTAAGGGAAGATTCATCGCCACACCATGGTGACAGATGTCAGGTGCCTGGGGCAGGGCCCGAGAGCCATGTGACAACTGGATGTCTGGCCTAGAGACCTCACTCCTTCCTCAGATCCCTTCCCCTAATCTTCCCTGTTCAAGGAACCCTAAAGCAGGTGTCCAAGCGACTTCCTCAGGCTCACACCACTTTCTATGCCATCTTGGCATTGCTGGGAGTTTAGACTTCTTCCAAAATTCAGAGCAGAATATACTGTGTATATGGTCGTTTCCAACCAAAAAAGAGAAGGGGGCATGCCGAGAGTGATTCAAATGTTTTGGTTAAAGAGACACAATTAAGTGCCTTATAAGACATATATTTGTTGAAGGTATGTCTTTTAGTAAATCATAAAAATGCAATGCTAAGACAAACAAAACACTAGGGAAAAACATAGTGCCAATGGAAATAATCATGAGATTCTCACTTCTGGAAAAAATAGTAAAGATGATACCCCCAAATCATTATTTTCTATTATCTTGGGGAAATTAATGCTTAAGAGCCCTTTATGGAAGCTGTACCAAATTCCAGGAATATTTAGCTAATGTGAAGCTTGTTTATAATTACAATAATTTCAAAGTCCATATCTGCCTTTGAAAACAACATCAGAAGTCAAGCAGGGCTTTGGTTAGAGCACAGTGTTGGTAACACCAAGTCAAGGGTTCAGATCTCCATACTGGCCAGCCACAGGGGGAAAAAAAAAAAGGAAGTCGAGTGGGCTTAATTTTCTAAATTTCATCTTTGAATTCTTAGTTGGTTTCCTCATTATAGGTATTTGGTCTAACCTTGGCCCATCAATGGAGTAGAAATTAGTTGCAAGTGACCATTCCTCTCTCATAAAAATTGCCCTTTGAAAAAGGGGCCAGTCCTGGAGTTAAAGCTAATAATCACTACAGAAGTCCTGTGTTTACCCTCAATATAGGATTTACCACAGGGCTGTCCAGTTAGCTCAGTTGGTTAGGGCCTGGTGTTGGTAACACCAAGGTTTAAGGTTCAGTCCCTGTAGTGGCCAGCTGCAAATAAACACACACACACACACACACACACATTTGTGATAGGTAACAAACTGAAAAGAAAAATTACTTATATCTTTGTATCTCTCTGGCTTCCCACAAAATGGGAAAAACTCTAGGTTTCAAATACGAAAGATGACATGATATATCTTGGATTTCAGTCACAACTAACACCCCTATTCCTTCTGTTTTGTATAGTCCAAAGAGTTCAAAATGATATTATCTTCAAACATCCAGAGGAAATGTATTAATAAGAATAGGTTCTGTTGTGATTGACAGAACAACCAAAATAACAGTGGCTTAAACAAGAGAGAAGTTGATTTCTCTTTCTCTCAGAATAAGAGTCTGGAGAGAGGCTTCCAGGGCTGTATGGTGGCTTTCTATGGTAGCTTTTAAAGTTTCTTAAGATTGAAAATAGTCATCTAACAGAAAGATTAGCAAATTTTCATCTACCTGATTTTGGCCCAGCCAGTTCTTCAAAAATCTCATTTCTGAAAGCTTACAACAACCTGGGACACTTTTGAACTTTTCACAGGGAAGGGAGCTTGGAGGTGGAAGAAAAAGTGGAGTCATCTTTTCTCTCAACACATTTTGCCCACATAGAATCCACAAGGCCATTTTAGGAATGTTACAGTTTGAATTATGCATTAAATCCATGCATTTCCCTTATGGCTAAAAATTCTTGCTTTTTTATTCCCAATATTTCCTTTATTAATTTTTTTTTATCCTGTAGTGACCTTTATTTGGGATTAAAGAGGTCAATGGGACTGTAAATTGAAAAATGGAGAAAACATACAGTTAGTTGTATGTTCAATGACTCTACCAAAAATTTCTTCACAGTATGATATCATTTGTCTAGCAAACTTTTTGGAATGTATGCAATGATACATAACTTTTCTTACATGTGTTCTAATCATTCTTTTTCTACATAATAGAGACCCATAATCAAATAAGGCAAACAAAACCATGAAGCCACTTTAACGACAAGATTCTAAGTCAATATTAATTGCAATGTTGAAGTTGAAATATATGAAGTAAAAAAATTGTCTAAGTTAGCTGTAGTGCAATTTATCCTCCAAACCCAAGTTCACGTAATACATTCCTGCATATTTCTCTTAACGTTACAGATCCTGTTGGCAAGTTAAACTCTTGGGCAGCACACCGTCCCAAAAAGTAGAATGGATTTTGTTTACAAATGTTAGCTTACCAATTGTTAGCCTCTTCCATCAGCTGAAGAAATACATAGGAAGTAATGTTTGAACAACTATATGTCTTTCTTCAGTTGGTGGGAAAAAATAGAATGAAGTACATAGGAAGTAATGTTTGGACAATTACACATCTTTCATTTATGTTTTCACAGAATCACATCTCATTACCTTCAAGTGGAGGCTGGCCTGTGGCTGCAGCTGTGGAGCGAGAGGAGCCTCACACACCACACAGATGGGAGTGTTCATGGGTACCATGCTTCCACATTCTGCACACAAGCCCATCTGCACAAAAGAAAAGGCCACATCTATCTTAGAACGTGAAAATGGAAGGTATGAGTGGATCTTAGAATGTAAGGCTCACTTTGCTTGTGTAAAACAACTTTTAAGATAATCACCTTTATTATCATTTTATTCCTGTTAAGAGTAAAAATATATTTATTTTAGGAAAAAGAGGTGTTAAATAAAGAGAAAACTATCCATAGGAAGTTAACTTACCGCATGATGAAGTGAGGAGGTCAGTAAATTGACTCCCCAAAAAGCAATTATAAAGTCAGATAAAGATCTCAAAAATCAACCTCTTCAGCACTCTGCAAGTCGACCAAAGGCAGACAGCAAATGACTGAACTTCAAGGAAGAGCACTAAGAGTCCAAGGGGTTCTTGCAGGGGCTGTTCCCCACTCCACCAGCTCTATCTGTGTGGTAGCTCCACCAGGGCCAGGCAGGCTATGAAAACCAGCAGTTTTGTGGCTGCTATTGGACAGGGCTCACTTGACTTGGAGCACTGTTAAAGTGTTGATCTTAGCAGGAAGCAAACAGGGAGGACTAGTGGCTCCACTAGCCTAAGATTATGCTCTTGTTTGGGGTAATCAATGGACCAGCAAACCGGCCAAGGATTTAACAGGGAGTTCTAGGAGGTAATTCAACTAAAGGAACTTGATAAGCTCATCACATTTGCTTATTGACTGGAAGCTATGTACATGTGCAACATAAACCAGGGTGGGCCCAAGCCACCCACATATCCCTGGCTGATGGAGGCAGCACATGTAGATGCAAGAGAGCTCAGCACAGAGTAAAAGCTGGGGCAGACTTAAAAACAGCCTGTAGTTTAAATGTGCTACCCAGCCCATACATAGATCCATTAGCAGAGTGGAAGCCTTACTGGCTCGAGATGCTGATGCATATAATTTTGGGCCAATTTTCAGATATGCAGACCCAGAGTTAACTCCAGGCTTAAAAATAAAAGCAGAGAGACAACAATAGCCACAAAACCCTGACATCAGTGCCCACACATGGCAGGGGAAATATACATTAAAGATTTAATCCAAATAAACAAAAAAACAAAATAACAACCCTGAGGAGAAAAAGGTAGCATCCAGAGTTACAACAACATTCAAGTAGGTCCTCAAAAAATTCATGGAAAGATTTGCATTATCTTTTAATATTGTTTTTCCACAAACTTTTTGAAGTACTTCATGTTATCTAAAATGCCCAGCATTCGAGAAAAAAATTATGAGACATGCAAAAAAACAAGAAATTGTGACCCAAATGCAGGGGGGAGAAATCAACAGAAATTGTCTCCAAGCGTCTTCATATGTTGGATTCAGCAGACAAAGATTTCAACAGAGCTATTATAAAAATGTTCAATGACCTAAAGGAAATAATGTTTTAAAAAATTAAAAAGTATGACAACAATGAGCTGACAAATAGGGAATCTCAACAAAGAAATAGAAATCATAAAAGAACTACATGAAAATCTGCAGTTGGAAAGTAAAATAACTGAAATTAAAAGAATCTCCAGAGGGATTCAACAGCCAATCATAGATGACAGAAGAATTGGTGAACTTGAATACAGTTCAATAGAAACTATCCAATCTGAAAAACAGAGACAAAAAAGATTGCAGAAAATAAACAGATCATCAAAGACCTATGGGGCAACATCAAGCATACCAATATCTATATAATGGGAGTTCCAGAAGGAGAAAAGAGAAAGAAAGTGGCAGAAAAAGAATCTGAAGAAATAATGACTGAAAACTTCACACACTGGAAGAAAAACATTAACCTACAGATCCAACAAGATCAAACAGTCCCAAGAAAGATATACACAAAGAGATGCAGACTTAAACACCTTATAATCAAACTGTCGAATATCTAAGACAAAGAGAAAATCTTGAAAGCAGCAAGAGAAAAAAACTACTTATCATGTACATCAAAAACAATGGAGGCCAGAAGGTGGTAGAATGACATATTTAAAGGGCTAAAAGAAAAAATAATTGCCAAATGAGAATTCTATATCCAGCAAAAGTATCCTTCAAAAATGGAGGTAGACTTCCAATCAATATGGTGGAATAGATGGTCCCCAGCATCACCCTTTCCCACAATCAACCAATTTACACCTATTAAAAAGCAACAACTGCCAACCTGAGCCACTAGAGCTCAGGGAAAGAGGAGGAGTGACCTACGGAGCTCATGAAGGCAGGAGAAGCCATGATGAGAGAGAGAAAGGACCATTTCCACTGTTTCCAGCCCCAGCCACTTCAAGACTGGACCTGGTGAGCACATGAATCAAAAGCTGGAAAAAGCCACAGCTGTGCGGGCCGGCCCGTGGCTCACTCGGGAGAGCGTGGTGCTGATAACACCAAGGCCCCGGGTTCGGATCCCATGTAGGGATGGCCGGTTCACTCACTGGCTGAGCGTGGTGCTGACAACACCAAGTCAAGGGTTAAGATCCCCTTACCGGTCATCTTTTAAAAAAAAAAAAAAAAAAAAAAAAAA